ACAGCCTCTTCGCTTGCTATACATTACTGGAGAGGGTCTCATGCAAATACCTTCAGGAGGCTGTGGGTGGTTTGGAATGAAATCTCCTCAATATAAAATTTTAACATGTTTCCTATTAGAAAGGCTCCTCTTCCCTATCTCTCTAGAGTCTAGGACATTTGTTCACTAACATTATGAAATTCTTTCTGCTTTTTCTTTCTTTAGTGGCCTTTCTAAACTATAAGTAAATTTTTGTGATGAGTTGTTTCATGTGGTCATTTGATGATTTTCAAACATTCACTGAAATCTTCTCTGTTTCCAAGGGGTCTTCTCAGACGTTCAGCTTGTATCATCTGGGCCAGAGATGGTGAAACAAGGGGAGAACCTCAGCCTGCTCTGTAAAGTGACAGGTTTCTCCACATACAGTCGTACCTCAGGTTTGGAACTTAATTCATTCTGGAGGTCTGTTCTTAACCTGAAACTGTTCTTAACCTGAAGCACCACTTTAGCTAATGGGGCCTCCTGCTGCGGCTGCTCTGCTGCTGCACGATTTCTGTTCTCATGCTGAAGCAAAGTTCTTAACCCGAGGTAATATTTCTGGGTTAGCAGAGTCTTTAACCTGAAGCGTATGTAACCTGAAGCATATGTTACCGGAGGTACCACTGTATACTAATACTTATGTCTGGCACTGAATCCACCTGGTACCTCGGAAAGGCCTGGAATGGATTGCAAAGATGCACCCTTATAACGGGATGACTTGGTATGCATCTTCTTTCAAGAGATGTGCAACCATTTCTTCAGATGCCTCTGGGAATGAGTTCTCCCTCCAGCTGAACTCCCTGACAGCTGCAGATGCCTCTGAGTATTTCTGTACCACAGAGACGACTAAAATGAGACAAGCTCTGTAAAAAAAAAGGAAAAACAATTCTCCCTGCAGAAATCTAGCTGCGTTCAATTACAATAAATCAATCACTAAGCTTGCAAACACAAAGAGAAAGGACAATTCAATTAAATATTTTAAAAGTTATGAAGCATTCTCTAGGAGGAGGGTGTCATTTTTTCTTCTGTTTGTATTCTGGTGGAGTAGGAGATCTGAAAATAATGCCAATATATTTCACAGCTGGAAACCAAGGTGTCCCTTTGGTTTCATATAGTACATGGGCAGACACGTCTAAAAAACTCAGGACATAATTTTTCATGGCCCTGCAGCGGCTATGGTGGCTCATTTACCAGAAATAATATATTTAGCATTATCTCTGGAAGTGTATAGTGACCAAACTAAGCCTTCTAGAGAAAAATATACATAGGGGGATGAGTTTGGTCAGAATCTAGTATGCACGTTCAATGGGTCTACTCTGAGTATGACGCAGTCCCGTGGGGTGATTTTAAACTAAGCTTTACTCAATAACCAACCAAGACCTGTTTAGCAATCTTCACAATCCTCACAATGGAGGGGTAAAGCATGGGGCTCACACACGCACTGGAAGCTTCTGTCACTTGGCTTAAATTCTGCAGGATAAGGATGTTTTGCAAAAATTCAGAGGTGTAGCATGGGTTCCCAGCTCCAGGGCATAGCTGTCAACTTTTTCCTTTTCTTGCAAGGAATCCTATTCGGAATAAGGGAAATTCCCTTTTAAAAAAGGGAAATGTTGACAGCTATGCTCCAGGGGCTACGTGGAGGGGTGGGTGGGAGGGAGGGAAATGGAGTGCACTTATACATTAACTACCTAATGGTGTCTGTGTCACCCAGGAGATGACAGTCAACCACCCCTGTGGCTATGTCACTGTGAACAATTCTGGCTCTGTGGATCCTGCCACCTGAGGCACTTTCTTCACCTTGCCTCATGGATGGGTCAGCCTAGAAGCCTCTTTGCAACCAGGGCTTTTCATGTCCTTGCTGCTGCCCAGCTGTTCTATCCCCATGAACAGCAGCCCTGCCTAAGTCATGACACAACCTCACATGCCAAAACTGTTTCAGTGACTCACACAGACTTGGCACAGTGTGATGCAGGAGTGGGCAACTCAGTTTAAGCTTCCTTGAGACACTTTGACACTGTATTGTGTAGAAAAGTCCTTTATTTCACCTCATAACACACAAACTCAAATGAGATATGTTACCCACATCTCTCACTTTCCCTGAGAGAAAAAGAAAACCTACAGAAGAAATTGGCCCATAAGACTTGGATCAGTGAGCAATTGGCAGTTCATTCCCTTTCCAACCAACCTTCTACCCAAGATTCCACATGTTTGAAGGTTTTTCATCCCATATTAATACTGTCCCCTCTTACACTGGCAGATTTATGCAAAGCCGAGTTTGTTTTCTCTTCCTACTTAAAGCCGCAAGTCTCTCACTTCACACAGACTTCCTGGCACGGCACTCAGAGCTCCATTCAGACACATCCCACCACTATGCCTTCTTTCTTGGTGACCTTCCTGGCACTGGCTGCCTCCTCTTCAAGTGTGTTAAGTCTTGCATTGTAGTTCATCACTTAATTTTGGATTTCTAAGATAATATTTGGCTGATGGTTTCTCCTTTTTTCCTTCCCTACCAGGTGTGGTCTCACAGGTGGTTCTGACCCAGACATCAGATCCAGTCTTGAAAAAACCTGGGGAATCCCATAAACTGAGCTGTGCCACTGCTGGATTTGATATTAACAGCAACTGGATGGGCTGGATCAGACAGAAACCTGGCAAAGGGCTGGAATGGCTTGTTTACTATTATGATACCCGTTCTGGGAACAGTTATTATTCCTCTGCAATCCAAGGGCGATTTACAGCCTCGAAGAGTGGATCAAACTTCTATCTGCAAATGAACAACCTTAAACCTGAGGATACAGCTGTGTATTACTGTGCAAGAGACACAGTGAGAGGCTTCCCATTAGACCTTAGACAAAAACCCTTCATTGCATTCCTTTAGTAGAGTTTCCAGAGGGGGCACTAAAGCACCACAAACAAGAAAATCTCAGAGCAGAAAAAACAAGACCATGGCCCAGGTTGGACAGGGGTCCAAGAAGATCTGCAGGGCCCCTGGTTCTTTGTTCTTACCCCCAAGCAAAGCAATGTCCTGAAAAGACCTTGTCTCTTCTCCACCACAGGTCAGCAGCTTCATTCCACTGTATCACTGTGCTTCAACAACAAGCATTTGAAAGAGGGAATAGGGTCAAAGTTGAATCAAATCATAAACAAATCAAGGATTAGTGCTCAACAATTGTTTCAGGTGCATAGCTACATGCCTGGTGCTGCCCACTCTCCCCAAACTCAATGGAAGGGAAATTCATAAACCTCTACTAAATTTAATTTCATGTGATAAGCATATTCTCATAAAACCAGGCTGCAGAACTCTCTTCTTCTCCCTCCTGTTTCCCACAAGAGGGCAAGCGGGGTGTAAAAAACACCCAGTGTCATCAACCCATGTCTGAAATGGTGTTGCAAGTACCGTTAGTGGCTTCATCTGTAAAACTGACAATTTCCTCAGATGTTTCCTTGCAGACCATCATCACATGGGTCCCTTGAGACTTTGCACTTCTCCACACTTAAGCTTTCTCTGTACTTTCCAGGCACAGGTCTGTGCTTTAAAGGTCCATGTCAGAACTGCTGTTTATTGTGCTTTGGGCGGAAACGCCAGGACAAAGAATAAGGAGAAGAGGAGGAGGAGGAGGAGGAGGAGGAGGAGGAGGAAGAAGAAGAAGAAGAAGAAGAAGAAGAAGAAGAAGAAGAAGAAGACATGTAACTTTAAAGCTCTTTGACTCCCGAAGGCACTTTCTCACAGTTCTCTTTATATTTTCAACCCAAAAATCACAATTCATTGCTGGGGGAAATGTAACTAATACAAACCTGATGTGGCTAATAGTTTGATGTGCAATAAATAAAAATGGCATAAATTCAGGATTTAAAAATTGGATCTGGAGCACATGATTTTTTATTTATTTATTTATCTGCCATGTGTGAAGAAGCCACATGCAGTATTTCTTGTTGTTATCTCTGCCCAGGGATGAACAGAGTGGTTAATTCTTTCCTATTACTGTTTTGTTTTGCTCAGTTCTGCTCTCTTTTTTAATCCATAATTTGTGAATAAATGCACAAAAAGTACACATTTAAACTGTATGGATGTTGTATTCAACGTATCACCATCTTCTCCAGTGAATTTCAATGTTTTTCAATAGATTTCTTCACAACATACCTGTTTCATATGCATTTCTTTTAGTGCATTTTTGAGACTGATTTGAATGGTAGACTGCAGAACAAGATCTGGAGAAATTTGTTATCTGACTGGGAGCTCATCCAAACATCTATTTCCCCCATTGTTTCCCCCCAGGAAAATCCATGGATTAGTGCTGAAGTGAAAAAAACGACAATTTTTTTCCCCAGCAGATTGCTGCTTGTTCTAATTTCGTTCTAAAGAGCAGGTTTCCCATGGGAAAGTAGTGGGACAATGGCAAAACCGCTGAGACTTCTGCCTAGAAAGCCAGGCAAGCCATTCTGACCCATGAATTCAAGGCATAGGACAAGTGGAAGTGTGGACAAGCAATAGGGAGTTGCCTTCTGATCCACAAGCAAGTCCCAGAGATTCTGCTTGGTTGAATTATTCTAAAAAGTGGACAAAATAAATTTCTCCTGCATCTCTGCAAGGAATAGGGTTCTTCTGCATACACATAAGTTAACAGAGAACCTGGTTTGTGTAAAAATGGCATTGATATTTGCCATTTCACACATTACAGACGAATTTATCTTCCCATCTTTTAGAAAGACAAAAAAAAGAAAGGAAGATGGCTAACTAATTTGCCCAGGCCCATGTTGCTCTTTGATCCTGAGAGGAATATACAAACCTACTCTGGGAACAACTGCTAAACTATACATTGGAAAATAATAGCTCGTTGTATACGTTATGCTTCCCTTCAGAGCCATAGTTTGCCCAACGGCTGTAGTGGTACTTTTACCTTACTATGTATGCAAATTATCAGAGATTGCTTCCTCTTTAAATCCACCAGACACCCTCCCTTCCTCAGCCAAAGAGCCCTGAACACGTGAGGCCACAATTTGCTCAACCTTCTCCAGGCATTAGATAGCAAAAATGATAATTTTGCTTCATCTTGTTTTCTTTTCAGCTGTTTTTAGAGGTAAATCCATCTTTTTTAAAAAAAGAAAAAATAAGAATTGGGCAGCCTGACTGCTAATAATATGCAGAAGAGCTCATTTATATCTTTTTCTTTCTAGGCATCCAATCGGAGGTCCAGCTGGTAGAGTCTGGAGGGGATGTAAAAAAGCCTGGAGAGTCCCTCCGCCTTACCTGTCGAGCTTCCGGGTTCACCTTTAGCAGCTATTACATGGCGTGGGTCAGACAAGCTCCAGGAAAGGGCCTGGAATGGGTGGCCTATATAGGTACATATTCATCTCCCATTTACTACTTGGATTCCATCAAAGGAAGATTCACCATTTCCAGGGATGATTCAAACAGCCAGCTGTATTTGCAAATGAACAACCTTAAACCTGAGGACACAGCCGTGTATTACTGTGCAAGAGACACAGTGAGAGACTTCCCATTAGACCTTAGACAAAAACCCTTCATTGCATTCCTCTAGTGAAGTCTGAAGATGAGTCATCAAAGCACCACAAACAAGAAACTCTGAGCAGAGCTCAAGAAATTCAAAGAGCAGGAGGGGGACAACTGAAGGAAGAAAAAGGAGGCTGCACATTCTTCTAGAAAGGTCTACCCGAACGAAAACATCAAATACATGGCTTTGCTATCAAAAACAATACAGTGGTACCTCGGGTTAAGTACTTAATTCATTCCGGAGGTGCATTCTTAACCTGAAACTTTTCTTAACCTGAAGCACCACTTTAGCTAATGGAGCCTCCTGCTGCTGCCGAACCGCTGGAGCATGATTTCTGTTCTCATCCTGAAGCAAAGTCCTTAACCCGAGGTACTATTTCTGGGTTAGCGGAGTCTGTAACCTGAAGCGTATGTAACCTGAGGTACCGCTGTAATTCGCATTAATGAGCGACTTTCAACCCTTTGAATAAAGCTCACCAAAAGCCAACAGGCTACTATTCTAAGCACTTATGCACCACACTGGATGTCGATGAAGACATTAAATAAAGAATTCACCCTGTTTAACACCTGATTCCACTGTGAATGGTTCACAGCAATCTGCAGAAACGAACCCACAGCTAGGCTGGATACAAACCTGCTATCAGAGTGAGAGAAGCTCCAGGAAAAGGCCTAGGATGAGTAGGATATATTTACTGCTCATCTTACATTTACTGCTCAGGTAAAGTGAAAAGACGCTTCATTGTCTCTGGGGATAATTGAGTCAGCTTGCTGTATTTGAAAGTGAACAGCCTGAAACTGGAGAATGCTGCTCTCTGTGCAAGTCATAAGCTGAAAGTAAGGGCATCTAAAGAGATAGGGCATCTTTTTATCCTGGCAGCTCTCAATGGGCCTCCAGTGAAATTGATATGGGAAGAAAGCACCTAACAGATTAAAGAATGAAAAGGAAGCTGCCTTAAACGGAGTTAAAATATGGGTCCACTTTGCTCAATAATGTCTACACTGACTTAACCCTATTAAGCATCCTTTAACTCTCTCTCTCTCCTGATATAGCAAGGGAAAGTGCATGGAACTATTATATTGCCCTCCCCTGAAAAAAAGGATCTGCCTCTGAATTTCCCCCTGATATTGTGAACATAAATGGGCAGTCTTCTGCTCTGTTAATTTGAAAATGCATCTTTGTGACTTACCATTGATACCTTCCACATAACAAATTTCTGCTAGGAATATTGGAAGCTCTAAGAAGATAGGCAGACCCTTTATTTTGTTCTTGTGTGTCGAGGTCCCCAAGCCACCCCAAATAACACACACTTCACACAGAAATTTTGTTTAAGGTTTTTGGCATAATTTTGGCCACAACTTTATTAAAATACATGAATGTGAGCTTAGGCATTGGTTGTGACCACATTGGTTGTGGGGACAGACTGACATTTCACACACCCGCGAAAGTCAGAAAAGGGGAATACATTTTGGGGATAGTGACGGAGCAGGGAACCTGCCCTCAACCCTCCCCAAATGCAACCAGGGGCTCTTGCGTGGCCCTAGCCCCTTGACAGGGTTCGGACAAAAGAAATGATGAGCCCCTGTATTCCTTTAACGGAATACCCTTGCAGCAGCAGCATTAGAGGGGCAGGCACAGCCAATCCATGCCCCTCTACCAACCAAACCAAAAAACCAATGCCTAACCGCAACCTTACAAGTTGTGACGATTTGCTACGCAGTAGGCAAAAACCAAATGGCACCAGCCAATCAGCCAAATGGACAAAATTCCTACCGGGCCTCTGCCCCAAGAGCAGACGACCCCATGACAGGCATAGCAAAGTCAACGTGAACAACCCTAAATATGGGGTGGAGGGCAATCTGATGCATGCAGCGAAAAGAGGGAGTTTTAATGTGCAGGGAGTTTTAACGTTTCTGGCTGTCTATCACAAAATGGCAACATTAACTTCTCCCCAACAACAAGGGAAGCCCAATCACAACAGTGGCCAACAATCAATTAGCCCACCCCACAATTTTGGAGTGTCTTGTCGGCCCCCACTGCAACACGTGCTCTCCATGAAGGAGAACACACTTTGTTGCCGCTTTCCCCTGCCCAACTTGAATGTAAATCTTTAATTAATGTCATATTGCACATTAAATATCTTGCCATAAAGCCATGCCTCAGAACTCTCTCCTCCTCTTTCTCACTAGGGGGCAGGTGTGGTCTGAGAAACACAAAATCATCCATAACTGAAATAAAATGTTGCTCAAAGTACTGTTGGTGGTTTCATCTGTGAGGCTAGTTATTTTCTCAGATGTTTCCACCTGAACCTAGAATGTATGGAAACTTCCTGGGGTATTTCATTACAATTCTCTTTTTTTCCACAGCTCAATTAACTGTACAAAAATGAGTTGATTCCTGTCAGAATCTATATGGACTATAGAATGAAAATGGAAATTAAAAACAGCATAAATCTGGAATATGGGAATTGGACCAGGGGTATGATCAGATGACATTCTCTTACATCTAGCAGTGGATAGCTCAGTTGATTAGAGTGTGGTGCTGATAATGCCAAGGTTTGATCCCTACATATTCCGACTCCGCATTTCTATGATTCTGTGATCATTCATGTAGAAGTTGATGTGTGAAGAAGCTATATACAACATTACTTGTCCCTCTTTCTTTCTAGGAGTGAACAGAAGGGCTCAGTCATAGGTCTGTTCCCTCCCATTGGGACAGGCCTCTGGGAAGATGCATGAAAAGTCCATGTTTATTTTGGTGAGAAAGAGAGAGAGAGAGCACACATATTTCTTTTCATGTGAAATTCATACTTTTGTATGGACTCTGTACCAATTTCTCCCCACAACCCTGTTAAGAAATGGTTCATGACATTCAACACCATCTGTACTGGGAATTCTATAAGTGAGATAAATTGCAATGGTCTGCGTTGCTCTTTTATCCTGAGAGGCATATAAAACTGCACACCTGTTAAGACGTGTTGATTTTATATCGTAGCAAAGAAGCAAAATATTACAAACGCCAGTCTTGCCTCTAGTTAGAGAGTTGGTTCTTTTATCCAGATGGGTATGTAAATCTTCAGAGAGGACTTCCTACTTAAAGCAGTCAAACATCCTCCTGTCCCCTGCATACTTGGGACCACTTTTTGCTCATCCCTCTCAAAGCATTAGACAGGGGAAATGCTTCAATTTCTTTTGTTTTCAGCAGTTTTGGGAGGTAAATCCATCCTTTTAATTAAAGGCAGCTGGTATATTCTGGGTGTTAATAACATGCCACAGGTCTCTTAAAATGCCTCTTTTTTCTAGGTGTCCAATCAGCAGTCCAGCTGGTGGAGTCTGGAGGAGATGCCAAAAGGCCTGGAGAGTCCATTCGCCTCTCCTGTCAAGCCTCCGGGTTCACCTTTAGCAGCTACTGGATGAGCTGGGTGAGACAGGCTCCCGGGAAAGGCCTGGAATGGCTGGGAGAAATAAATGCAGCTTCATCTACCATAAACTACTCGAACAAAGTGAAGGGACGTTTCACCATCTCCAGGGACAATTCAAACAGCCTCCTCTATCTGCAAATGAACAGCCTGGAAGCTGAAGACACGGCTGTGTATTACTGCGCAAGAGTCACAGTGAAAGGAAGTGAATCTGAAGCCTGGCAAAAACCTCCTGTTGCTCACAGCTGCTCTCTGGGTTGATTTCACTGTACAGTGCACAGTAAAAGTATACAGATATGTGAGACAATAATCTAATCCCTCCTTTACCAGGGCTTCTGCTGACAAAGAGAGAGCCACCCATTCAGGCATGTGGAGACTTCATTCACATTACAAGTAACACACACTGAGTTCAGGTGCAAAATAAGCTTCAAGGGTGAGATACACTCCATAAAAAAGAACGGGTGAAGTGTGTGTGTGTGTGTGTGTGTGTAGATAGATGATAGATAGATGATAGATAGATAGATAGATAGATAGATAGATAGATAGATAGATGATAGATAGATAGATGATAGATAGATGATAGATAGATGATAGATTAGTTCATCTTTCATTTAGTACTCATATAAAGGGACACGTCACCATCTCCAGGGATAATTCAAATACTTTATTCATTTGCAAGTGAACAGTCTGACACCTGAGGACAGTGCTTTGAATTACTATGCAGGGCACAGTGTGAGATGATGTGAATTGAAAGAAACACTTCACAGGCACGTTTACTCTCAAACACCTCTTTTTTCTGGCAGATAATTTCTCAGAGTGTTAGATTATATAACTGGCCTTTCTGTGATCAGGACTGGACCAAAAATGACCATCATGTTATATGGCCCAGTTCACATCCTTTTTTTTTTTTTGCATTGTAGGCATGAAGGAAACCAGGACTAGGGTAGGCCTCCTTAAATATCCTGGGAGTGTACCTGAGGGAAGCCTACCTGCTCTGTCAGACCCACCCCCAGGGAGGGCCTACCTCCAAGCTTGCCTGTTGGAGGGCCAAAATTATCAGAATTAAGCTGGTGCACCATGTTCTACTCCAGGGGCCATCATTCCCATTTCTCTACTTTCCTGCCTATAAGAGTACATTTTATGAAACTGGATGCTTGTGACAGCAAAAATGGGAGAGGCAGAAGTGGTCACATGGAGATGGCTCATTGAAACACCTTCTTAAATGAGTGCATGGAGCTGCGCCAACATCTTTGGCCCAAGCTGACTCTGCAATGTGTGAAAAGGTCCGTTACTTCACTTTATGGCATATGAACTTAAAGGAGAGGGGTCCACCCACCCACCCACCTCCTCCCTCCCTCCCTGCCTGCCAATCACACAAGCAGGCAAAGAAAATAGGCTATAGAAGAAATTGTCTTTGATAATATATAATATAGTGGTGCCCTGCAAGACGAACGCCTCGCAAGACGAAAAACTCGCAAGACGAAAGGTTTTTCGTTTTCGAGTTGCTTCGCAAGACGAATTTCCCTATGGGCTTGCTTCGCAAGACGAAAAGGTCTTGCAAGTTTGTTTCCTTTTTCGTAAAACCGTTAAAACCCAGGGTGCATTGCTGGAAGAGGTGCAGTTGCGACTCGACTTCGAGGAGCAACACATTGCACGCGGTGTGGTGGCCTTTTTGAGCTTTTTAAAGAGTTTGCTGAATTTTTGAAGCTTTTCCTAAACTTCTTTTGCCGCTGTTTGGTAAGTTAAACTTTTAAAACTTTTTGGGGGTTTTGGATTTTGGGTTGGGGTGTTTAGAATTCAAGAACTTGGTGTTGGGGAGAGGTTTGCAAGAATCTGGGAGCTTGTGTGGTTTTTTCCTGCATTTTTATGATTTTCTGTGACCATTGGGCCATGTTGTTTTTTTTTTGAAAAAAAGTTATAGGTTTTAAATTTATGTTTGCTTGGTGGATGGGGGAACAGTTGAGGAAGGGTTTGCAAGAATCTGGGAGCTTGTGTGGTTTTTTCTGCATTTTTATGATTTTCTGTGACCACTGGGCCATGTTGTTGTTTTTTGAAAAAAATTTCTGGGTTTTGAATTTCTGTGTGCTGGGTGGATGGGGGAACAGCTGGGGAGGGGTTTGCAAGAATCTGGGAGCTTGTGTGGGGTTTTTTTTGAATTTTTATGATTTTCTGTGACCATTGGGCCATGTTGTTGTTTTTTGAAAAAAAATTCTGGGTTTTGAATTTCTGTGTGCTGGGTGGATGGGGGAACAGCTGGGGAGGGGTTTGCAAGAATCTGGGAGCTTGTGTGTTTTTGTTTTTTTGAATTTTTATGGTTTTCTGAGACCATTGTGCCATGTTGTTGTTTGAAAAAAAAAATCTGGGTTTTGAATTTCTGTGTGCTGGGTGGCTGGGGGAACAGCTGGGGAGGGGTTTGCAACAATCTGGGAGCTTGTGTGGTTTTTATTTTGAATTTTTATGATTTTCTGTGACCATTGGGCCATGTTGGTTTTTTTTGAAAAAATTTCTGGGTTTTGAATTTCTGTGTGGATGGGGGAACAGTTGAGGAGGGGTTTGCAACAGTTGGGGAGGGGTTTGCAACAGTTGGAGAGGGGTTTGCAACAGTTGGGGAGGGGTTTGCAACAGTTGGGGAGGGGCTGGGGGAACAGTTGAGGTTTTTGAAGACTTTGGTGATTTTTAAAGCTTTCCCAAAACTTCTTTTGCAGCCATTTGAGGATTTTGAAGACTTTGGTGATTTGCAGCCATTTCGTAAGTTAAACTTTTAAAACTTTTTTGGGGGGGTTGGATTTTGGGTTGGGTGTTTGGAATTCAAGGACTTGGTTCTGGGTTTGAATTGCTGATTTTTTTTTTCTTTTTCTGAGTTTACGAAGGTAACAGCTGTGCTGCCATGGGACCCAAGAAGACTGCTGCTGCTGCGGAGGCCGGCGAGAGGAAGAAGGAGAAGGTGACACTGGAAATGAAGAAGGAGATCATCCGGAAGCACAACGGTGGAATGCGTGTGACGGACCTCGCCAGGGAGTACGGCAGGAACCCATCGACCATCGGGACCATCCTGAAGATGAGGGAGAAGATCCTTGCGACTGATGCAGCCAAGGGAGTCACCAGGATCGTGAAGAACCGCCCAGCTGTTCTGGACGAGGTCGAGAAGTTGCTGCTCATCTGGTTAGAAGAGAAGCAGCGTGCAGGGGACACAGTGACTGAGGCCGTCATTTGTGAGAAGGCCAAGGCCTTGCACGCAGACCTCATCCGGGAACAGCCAGGAACCTCAGGCGAGCCAGAAGTCTTCAAGGCAAGCAGAGGCTGGTTTGACCGGTTCAAGGCAAGATCTGGAATCCACAGTGTGGTCAGGCATGGAGAGGCTGCCAGTTCTAATGTTCCTGCGGCTGAAGACTTTGCCTTGGAGTTCCTGGAGGCTGTGAAGACAGAGGGCTACATTCCACAGCAGGTCTTCAACTGTGAAGAGACCGGGCTGTTTTGGAAGAGGATGCCCAAAAGGACTTTCCTCACACAGGAGGAGGCCAAGTTGCCTGGCCACAAGCCCATGAAGGACCGTCTGACCCTGCTCTTCTGTGCCAACGCAAGCGGTGACCTGAAGATCAAGCCCCTGCTGGTGTACCACTTGGAGAACCCACGGGCCTTCAAGAAACACAAGGTCGACAAGGAGCGGCTGAGTGTCATGTGGTGATCCAACAGCAAGGCTTGGGTCACACGTGTGCTGTTTGTGGACTGGGTCAATCTTGCTTTTGGCCCTGCTGTCAAACAGTACCTGCTGGACAACGACCTGCCGCTGAAGGCTTTGCTTCTGATGGACAATGCTCCTGCTCATCCTAAAGGCCTTGAGGTGGACTTGTTGGAGGAGTTCAGCTTCATCAACATCATGTTCCTGCCGCCTAACACCACGCCACTGCTCCAGCCGATGGATCAGCAGGTCATCGCCAATTTCAAAACTCTACACCAAGGAGCTTTTCAGGTGATGCTTCGAGGTGACTGATTGCACCACCATCACCCTGCGGGAATTCTGGAAGGACCACTTCGACATCGTCACCTGCTTGAAGATGATCACCACGGCCTGGAACGGGATCAGCCAGAGAAATTTGAATTGCGCTTGGCGCAGCCTGTGGCCGGACTGTGTGGCACCAAGTGACTCTGATGCACCAGAGTCAACAGTGGTGCAGGACATTGTTGCCTTGGGGAGGACCATGGGCCTGGAGGTCACAGAGGAGGACGTCTGCGAGCTGGTGGAGGAGCACGACCACGAGCTGACCACCCAGGAGCTGGTTGAACTGCAGTCAGAGGTTGCGCAGGAGCAGGCCTCGCTGGAAGAGGAGGAAGCAACTGAGGAACGGCCGTCCTCCAAAGAACTGAGGGACATTTGCCAGAAGTGGAAGGAGGTGCAGGCTTTTGCAGAGCGGCACCACCCTAACAAGCACGTGGCACATGACCAAGCGAACACTTTTGATACGACGGTCATGTTGCCTCTCAGGGAGCTGCTGAAAAGGCGGATGAAGCAGCAGACCATGGACAGGTTCCTCAGCAAGAAGCAAAGAGTGGAAGAGGAACCTTCTTTGAGGGGTCCCCCAGAGTCTTAGAAAATGTAATGTACCCTTTTTTGATTTTTAAATGTTTTTCCTGTCATGTTTAGAAACTTAATTTATTGTTCCTTCAATTTTTGATATGCTCTTTAAAGTATGTGTGACTTTAAAGAGCAGTTAATAAACTATTGTTGTACCAAATTTGGCTTTGATTGGACTTTTGACCATAGGAACGCATTAATTGAATTTCAATGCATTCCTATGGGAAACCGTGCTTCGCAAGACGAAAAATTCGCTAGACGAAAAAACTCGCGGAATGAATTAATTTCGTCTTGCGAGGCACCACTGTAGTAATAATAATAATAATAATAATAATAATAATAATAATAATAATACTTTATTTGTACCCCGCCCATCTGGCTGGGTCTCCCCAGCCACTCTGGGCGGCTTCCAACAAAGATTAAAAATACATTAAAATGTCACACATTAAAAACTTCCCCAAACAGGGCTGCCTTCAGATGTCTTCTAAATGTCAGGTAGTTGTTTATCTCCTTGACATCTGATGGGAGGGCATTCCACAGGGCGGGCGCCACTACCAAGAAGGCCCTCTGCCTGGTTCACTGTAGATTGGCTTCTCGCAGCGAGGGAACCGCCAGAAGGCCCT